AGATGCCTATTTTTGTTTAGGCAGTTTTTTACTGGGCTGGGCTGAGCGCTTTTCTTGCGGGCTCGGGTAGGCTTATTAGGCATGCGGGCTTCATGCACACCCCTAAGTTTCACATTACAACATACTTTAAAGAATCAGATTTGGTCATTTCTAGAGAGTCATTCAACTTTTTCCCTATTAAGGATAAAGAATGAAGGATTGGTTGGCTAGTATAGTGAGATTATATTTAACTTCCGTTTCCCAAGTTTGAATTTTTACTATAATTATATGATCATAAGATCTATTATATATGTGATAGGCTTCCTTCATGGAATTGGGATTTGAAAAACTACAAAAATAAGTTTGGAACTTCAAAAACAATGATCCTAGCTCTTTCTAATTAACAGTAAGAACTACCATTGCCATTTCTTAAATGACCTCTCTATCCTCCAGCTTTTGTCATTTCTCTACTCCTCATTTAAGTTGCCACATGTTACATGCAATGAGAGCATTAAAGTTATCTATGTAACATATTGTAGACTAAGCTCAAGTATGATTATTTGTTATTTTATCTCCATACTGAACATACTTTTGCACCATCATTTAGTACACATTACAAAATGAAGATCTTACTGAAATACTGCTTCATGCCATTTCATATATTTAATATTTATTACAAGGTGTTTAATTCAACTGGCATGCGTTTGGTGATATTTTTCAACCATCTAGCTTCTAAACTGATTGGCTTCTCAACTGAGGAGTTGAAAACAAAGCTAGCAAAGGTTTGACTATTGCATTCTATTGCACTAACTAAGACTCAAATTCAGTGACCATATTCTAACATTTACTCTTCCATAACCCGTCTTATCTCAGGAAAAAAACTATATTCTTTTCCCCAAGAATTAAGCAATTGTATGGGTATAGAAATGATTGTGAAGTTGAACATCAAAGAAAATAATATCAAGTTTTAAAATAGTAGTATGGGAGTAATCCAGTTCACAACTGATGAGAAGGTACTTGAAAATTTTGCATACCTTGGTATAAAGGTATTCAACCAACTTTGTCTACGTCTTACTACTAAATGTTTCAATCCACCATGTTAAACCAACTTTGCACCATTATGTAGGGAAGTTAACTAAACATAACTAATAATGTCACTCATGAAAAGCCTATAGTTGAAACTTTTGTTCCACAGGATCCAACATTGCAGATATGTGTCATGGTGGGTTAAGATGTTGATTTCTTAATATCCCAAATGCTTGGCTCTTTAAACTCAATGTCCAAATATAAATTGAGTCCACTTGATTCCTCAATTGCTGATAAAGAGATGAGGTTGTCTGATCCCTCAATTTTGAATACTGGCTATATGAAGCTCGAGAAGAACATTAAAAAGGAAAAGTGAAGATAAAGACTAATTTCTTTCCAGTTGTGAAATTGACAGTTGCGAACATCTACTTTTTTGGAAATATTACAATACATGCCATACTTTTCATTTCACAGATAACTTATTATTTCCAACAAAAGTTCCATTCTTGGAAAAATGTTTTTAGCCTTGCAAATTTTGAAGTCCACACACATATCTACCAATTCTGCCTTGTAATTATTAATAATTACTTACAAACAATTTCACTAAATGATGATGCCTCTGTTGTTAAAGCACTCAATTAAACTAGGTCCTAATTGATTTGTAGTTTAGGATCGACCTAGGTCATTACTTCCAAGGAGCAAGTTATGGGTTTCTTTAGGTAAAAATTTAGTTGATAAAAAAATGCAATAAATTGGACCTAAACTAAAATGCAAAATTCTAACTCTAAATGCAAGATGCAAATGTCCTAAAATCTATATGAAAATTAAATTAAACTGAATAAATGCAATGCAATTTTTGGGGGGATTTTTTTAAGAAAACAAAATTAAAATGATAAATGAAGAAAATTAATCAGGAAGCAAAGAAAATTAACAAGTAAAAATGGAGAAGTTTTCTTCAAGTAAGGTAGAGGGGACAACATAGGATTCGCATGGATTTAACCTTCATAACCTTAATCAATTAATTAGACTAAAGAAAAGTGATAGGAGAGTGGAATTAATAAATTTAATCACCTATTTGAAATAAAAGGAACCCTCAATCTCAAAAACACTTAAACTATTAGAGAACTCATAACAGTATAAGGTTGGTTAATTAAGCTTATTAAAACCAATGGAAATAACTCAAATTAATTCTGGAAAGTATGTTTGAAATTATCCAATTAAACAATTAGATAATCAACTAACTTAATTAAACAATTAAGAGGCAAAAGAACCCAGATTTTGCAATTCAAACCACATTGATAATTAAACTCATAATGAAAACTCAATTATAAATTCAATTAACAATGCAAAGGTTCAAAAACATAAATTCTAGCAAGTGTCTCAATACAAACAAAATCCAAATATCAATCCAATCTAAGCATAAAGATGACAATCTAGAACTAAATTGTCTCAAAAAATTACAACTTAAAATTATTTAAAACTAAATAATCTTAAGTCCTGGAATTAAAAAGATAAATGGAATATCACATCCTTATGGTCTTCAAGTGCTAGCCCAAGGCTCAAATCTCTTCTATGCTCCTCCCAAGTTGCCTCCCTAACAAGGTTAAGCTGCCATGAAAATTATCTTCCTTCTAAGCTTCTTGGTGCAATTTATGGACATGAGAAGCAAGGTGGGTGATTCAAATTACAGGAGCAATTGATTGAATGGATGATGTTGGAATGTGGTGATAATAGTAGTCCGGAAATCAAAGGACATGATGCTCGGTTTTTTTACTACAAAGTGTAGTGAAAGAATTATGAGAGAAGGCGTGAGACTAGAGGAATAGTGTTGAAGGGAGAATAAAGAGAGTGCTGGGCGTTGAATTGTCCGTTGGCGTGAATGGAGAAGGAAAGAGTGATATTTTGGCGTGTTTGGAGGGATTATTTTGATGGGAGAAAAGGAAATTTTTATGAATCCAAAGCTCAAGCCCATTAGTAATTAATTGGCCCACCTAATATTAGCCATTGGATTGTGCTTAAATCCCAAGAAACAATCTTGCACCATTGGATTTCCCATATGCTCTTTCTTGACCTACAAGAATTTAAGTGCAACCATTAATGTAGATTATATCCAAATATAATATAATCTATATCAAAATTAAATATTAGATATGCACAAAAATTAGGCAAGAGTTTGCAAAACTTTCTAAAAATCAATCTTTCTAAAAATATGAGACTTGTTTCCAAAGAAAGAGGAAAATATTAATTCCAAGTCAAAAATAGGAAATCCCAAAATATTTATATTTTTAATTCAAAATCTCAATTTTTATGCAAAATCCAAAAATCAACCAATTAATCCAATAATGCATAAAAATCCAATTAAGCTCAAAATTATCATGTAAATCCTAAATTAATATGGGATAAAATGTATAAAAATTGGGTTTTATCAATTCCTCCACACTTAGCCTTTGCACTCTTAGGCAAAGCAAATAAAGACCAAAGAGCAATAAGAAAAACAAAAGAGAATCAAACAAAAGAGAATGTTCCAATCACAAGCAAAAAGTAAGTCAAAGCATTCAACATCTCTATTATCCAAGTAATCTCCTCATGAATTAAGAAAACAAACATCATGGCAATTTACTTGACAAAGGGGAATCTAAGTCAGAAATCCCACACCAAGGTTAATGGGTATGTCACTCATCACTCAAAAGTGTATTAGCTTGTGTTTGCACTCAAAACCATCCTATCCAATCCTCTTTCCATAGGCTTAACAAGAATCTAAATTCTTCACCATTAGTAAAGCAATTACAAGCATAAATCAAAAGGACTTTTATTAGGTTGTAATGGGGCTAAGGTAAAGAAAGAAAGGATATAGTGTTTGGGAAAACAAAGTTGAACATCTTAGGAAATGAAGAGAAACATTGAAAAAATATAGGAGAATGCAAGAAACTAAATTGAACTTGGATTGGGTCATTCTTCTTCTGCTTCTCTCTTTTTTTTTCCAAGCTCTTTCTCTTTTTCTTCTTGTTTTTTTTTTAAACTTTCTTAGACCGTTATGTATATGCTTTTTTGATGCGAACCTTTATATTGGTGATACAAAGGCCCGGTTACTCAAGCATGGATAACTCCTTGGCACCAAGATGCTACTAGCACGCTCATAGCCCTTACTGGCCGTTTGACGTGAAGATCAACATTGGTAATGAAGATCCCCGATTATTAAGCACAACTTAAACCAGAGGAGAGGAATCTTATTATAGTATTTTTTTTCTTTTTTCTTTTTTTTCTTTCTTTTTTTCACATTGACCCAAACCATAACTCTAAATGTGTTCTTCCATTCTAAGCATATGTAATTTAGTACTCTTCAACTCCTAAGACATTCAGAAACGGTAGGATTTTTTTTTATGGGTTAAGAGAAAAAATATGAAGGCTCAAAAGGAGTTAAGCAAAGGATAAATGCAAGAAAAGGGTAGGCTTTTGGCTTATCTGGCTAGAAAAATTGAAATGAATGCCTATATCATCTTTATGAATGCAAATGCACAAACATAGTCTCAAACAAAATTCAACTCAAGTTTTGGATCAAGGAAAGAGATAGGGGGTATAAACACATGAAAAGAAGAAATACATCAGGCTCAAAACCTCACTAGGCACATGATTACTAGCTTAAATTCACCTAAGTCAAATCCATTGCCATCTAGTTTACTTACTCAAGACATGATCAATCACTTTCAAATCAAGAATGCATCATACTTGAATCACTTCAAACTTGCAATCTTCACATTCAAAATAAAACAAAAAAAAAATTTCAGTTTTTTTTAAGAGGACACTAAAACAAAAGTAAAAACACACCCAAAAAGAAAAACTAAAAAAATGAAATCCCTCCCACACTTAAACAATGCATTGTCCTCAATGCATAATGCATAGGGAAAATCACAAAGATAAGTGGTATCCAGCACAACACAACTCAATAATATGACAATGCAAAGCAAAAAGAGTGAAGGGAAGGAATACAACCGGGGCTACGTGGCGTCTCGTAGTGTGATAATCTCTACATCTTGGGTAGAGAATCCCTCATAGTAAGGCTTCAAGCGATGACCATTGACTATAAAGCATCTTCCAGTTGGCTCTCTCTTAATCTCTATAGCTCCATAGGGGAAAACATTAGTGACAATGAAAGGTCCCTCCCATCTAGAATAAAGCTTACCAAGCATGAGTTTAAATCTAGAGACATAAAGTAGAACTTTTTGGCCCATGTGAAACTCCCTTCTTAAGATGAGCTTATCATGGATAGCCTTGGTCCTTTCCTTGTAGATCCGAGCATTCTCATAGGCTTCTCTCTTAAGCTCTTCAAGTTCTTGCAATTGTAACTTTCTTTCAGCACCAATACTAGCAAGATCAAGGCTGCAGCTTTTGATGGCCCAATATGCCTTGTGCTCTACCTCTACTGGCAAATGGCAAGCCTTACCAAAGACAATCCGATATGGAGACATGCCAATTAGGCTTTTATATGATGTACGATATGCCCAAAGTGCATCATCCATCCTCTTGCTTCAATCCTTTCTGTTAAGTTGCACTGTCTTTTCAAGAATGAGCTTAATTTCTGTTCAAGAGTTCCACTTGACCGTTTGTTTGAGGGTGATATGGAGTAGCGACCTTATGCATCACACCATACTTGCTAAGTAAGCTCTGTATACTTTGGTTGCAAAAATGAGTACCTTGATTGCTAATAATAGCTCTTGGGATTCCAAACCTGTAGAAAATATAAGACCTAACAAAAGAAACCACTACAAAAGACTCATTAGTACGAGTAAGGACTGCCTCAACCCACTTAGAGACATAATCCATAGCAAGCAAAATGTAAACATAACCAAATGAAGTAGGAAAAGGTCCCATGAAATCAATACCCTAAACATAAAAACTTTACAAACAACAGAGGTTGTTGAGGCATCTTATGCCTCTTAGAGATATTGCCAACAAATTGGCACCTGGAACACTCCTTACAAAACTCGTGGGCATCATGGAATAAAGTGGGCCAGAATAACCCACTTTTTAAAACTTTCCTAGCAGTGCGCTTAGCACTAAAGTGCCCTCTACAAGCAAAAGTGTGACAAAATGTCAATACAAATTCAAATTCACTATCAGGAATACATCGTCTAATAACCTGATCATTGCAAATGTGCCACAGGTAGGGATCATCCCATATATAGAACCTAGCATCACTCTTAAACTTGTTTAATTGATGCTTATTCATATCAGTTGGTAAAACAGATGCAGCTAGATAATTAGCAATGTCAGCATACCACAGAATAGTCATATCAATACCACATAGTCTATTATCAGGAAAATCATCTAAGGGTAAAGAAGATGTTACCACAGGAGTCTTAATCCTACCCAAGTGATCAGCTACCATGTTCTCTGCACTGCTCTTATCACGGATCTCCACATCAAACTCCTGTATCAGCATTACCCATCTAATCAAGCGGGGTTTGGAGTCCGACTTCTTGAATAAGTACTTGATAGCTGAATGATCTGTAAAGACAGTCACTTTTGTGTGGAGAATGTAAGAGCGAAATTTCTCAAGCCCAAAAACAATTGCAAAAAGTTCTTTCTCTATAGTTGTGTAATTAGCCTGTGTGGCATCTAAAGTTTATGATGTATATGCTATGATATGTTGTCATTTTTCTATTCTTTGAGCAAGAACTGCACCTAATGCATAATTAGAAGCATCACACAAGAGTTCAAAGGGAAGGCTCCAATTAGGTGGCTGAATGATAGGGGGTGTAGTGATTCACTTTTTCAACTCATCCCAAGCACACCTACAAGCATCATTAAAAACAAAGCCCACATCTTTCTGCAGTAAACGAGATAATGGTAATGCAATTTTACTAAAGTCTTGAATGAATCGCTTGTAAAATCCAGCATGTCCAAGAAAAGAGCACACATCTTTCACACAAGAGGGATATGGAAGAGATGAAATAATATCAATTTTGGCTTTGTCAACCTCAATGCCATCATGTGAAACAACATGTCCTAAAACAAATGCCTTTCTTAACCATAAAATGGCATTTCTCAAAATTCAGCACAAGATTATATTCAATATACTTTCCAAAACCCTATCCAAACTAGCTAGGCATGCATCAAAAGAATCACCATAGACAGTGAAATCATCCGTAAATACTTCTATGCAATGCTCAAGAAAATCAGAAAATATAGAAACCATGCAACGCTGAAAAGTGCCAGGTGTTACATAAGCCAAACGGCATGCATCTATATGCAAAGGTTCCAAATGGATATGTGAATGTGGTCTTATCCTTATCCTCAGGTGCAATAGAAATTTGAAAGTATCCAGAAAAGCCATCCAAAAAGTAATAATGGGATCTACCAGCCAATCTTTCAAGCATTTGATCTATAAAAGGAAGGGGGTAATGATCTTTTCTGGTCACAGAATTCAACTTCCTATAATTAATGCATACCCTTCAGCTATTTTGAACTCTAGTTAGAACAAGCTCACCTTTATCATTACGAATAATAGTAATACCAGTCTTTTTTAGAACTACCTGAACCAGACTAACCCACTGGCTATCAGAAATAGGATAGATTATACTTGCAGAAAATAGTTTAGAAACCTCTTTCTTTACCACATCAAGAATCAATGAGTTGAGTCGCCTCTGTGGTTGGTGCACAGCTTTGGCACTATCTTCTAACAAAATCCTGTGCATGCACACATTAGGGCTAATTCCAGGAATATCAGCAAGAGTCCATCCAATAGCTTTCATCCTTCTTTTCAGCACCTCTAGGAGGCGAATTTCTTCATCAACAGCTATGTCGCTAGCTACAATCACTGGCAATGTCTCATTTTTCCCCAAATAGGCATATTTCAGTGAATCAGGAAGTGGCTTTAGTTCTAAAGAGGGAGCTTGATCAGTTAAATGTATAAGGCGCTTTAGATCAATGTTAGTCAAACTAGAAACCTGCACTGAAGACTCACAAGTAGAAGAGTAGATTTTCCCAACTTAGGAATCATTAGTAGGAACAGTAACAACACTCATATCAGAAGCAACATCGGGGTCAAAATCAAAGATTGTTATATCAAGGACATAATCAATATTAACTAATAACTCAGAATCAAGTAATAAAGATGAATCATTTGCATCTATCGCATCAATCACAATAAATAACTGAGAGAGTCCATGTGAATCAACAGAAGTACTAGATGAATCACTAAAAGTGCTAAGGCTATGGACAGGCATAGAAGAATCAAAATTAGAATGTCTAACAATCTCAATAAAATTAGTGAAAACATCAATATCAGCAGCATCTATACCAGTACATATATCACAACTACCAATTTCAGAATATGAACAAGAGATAGAATCATCTAAGCCAACAATATCACATGATCTAGTTATCATACTATCTCTAAAATCCATGACAGCATTATCAGTGATAACATTAATAAAACTAATATCAATCTCAGCACAACTATCAAGTGGATGTCTTAGAGAGTCAAGCACATCAAATCTAATGATTTTACCAGCAAATTCCATAGTAAGAGTACCAGCATGCACATCTATTATAGCCCTAGCAATCTTAAGAAATGGTCTACTCAAAATCAAAGATGAATGTCCCTTTTGCCTAAATCTAGTATCATCCATATCTAGAACATAGAAGTCTGCAGGAAATATGAGATCTTTTACCTTAACCAAGACATCTCCAAGACTCCTCTGGAATTACACATCGTTTGTCAGCAAGAGAAGCAATTAGATTTGTAGGCTTAAGATCCACACCTTGCAGTTGAGAAAAACCGATTTCGGCATGACATTGATAGCTGCTCCTAGATCTGCTAAAGCATCTGAAAACTCAATGTTGCCAATAGTGCACGGTATGAGAAAGCTACCAGGATCCTTGCACTTCACTTGGCACTGGCATTTGATAAAGAGAGGAGACAATCGCCCCTAAGTCAACTTTGCCATCATGCTTAAGCCTTCTCTTGGTGGTACACAACTCCTTCAAAAACTTCACATACTTGGGCACTTGTGCAACTAGATCAACCAATGGAACATTGATTACCACCTTTTTGAAGATATCATAAACCTCGTTGAACATCTCAGCTTCTTTCTTTTTCCTTTTAGCCCTAATCACCCCTGTAGGAAAAGGTAAGACTTGCTCGCTCACTTTCTTCCCTTCCATCTTTTTCTTGCTCTTCTTGCAATTCCGCATGTGGTTTTGATAAAGTAGACTTATTATGCAATGTGGAAGCAGGGGGAGAATCTTTAATGATAGGTTCCTCATCCGTTGAAGCATAGGCAGTGACAAGATCTGTGGAGGTAATTGAATTTTCGCCTCTGAGAGATATAGCATTAACTCTACCAATGTTAGGATTTTGCTGGGTGCCAACATTAGGGTTAACTACTACCTGAGATGGTAGCTTCCCTGAGCCTTGACTTTGTATGTTACTAAGTGCATTAAATAACTGCCCAATCTGAGTTTGAAGATTCTGAATTTCTTGGCTATGTTGCAAATCCTTTTGTTCAAACTTATCCATTAGGATTTTCATCATGACTTCTAATTTTGAACTGTCATCTTGATTTGGCATAGTTTGCCTAACTTGTTGGAACATTTTACCACTAGAAGAAGTTGCACCTTGATTGAACTGTGATTGTTGAGGCTGGCCACTCCCATATCTGAGATTTGGATGGTCACGCCATCCAGGGTTATATGTATTTGAGAAGGATCTATTTCTAGCCACCTTAAGTCATAGGCTTAGTGTGGTATATTGCATTACACAAGTCAACTCTATCATTTAGGTAAGGGCAAGAGACAGTGGTGTGAGTAGCTAGAGAGCAAATAGAACGAAGTGACTCAATTCGAGCTGTAGAGTCAGCTTATGGGATGAAAGTGGAAGAAGATCCCACAGAAGGAGCCATATTTTGGGAGTTTTTCATTTGAAATACCACCATGTTCTCCATAGCATATGCTAACTTATCAATTTTGCTCTCAAGGTGAGACTCAGAATAAGATGAATGCAATCCGAATTCATTTACTCTAACTTGCTACCTAGTACCAAACTGTTGGGTATTTTCAGCTTTCTTTTCAATCAATCTCCAAGTAGCTTCAACACTCAAGTCAAGAAGAGCACCTCCAACAATAGAATCTAGTAAATCTCTCTCAAGAGGCAAGAGTCCTTCATGAAAATATTGAATCAACAATGTATCTAAAATTTGGTGGTGAGGACAATTGGATAACAATGCTTTAAAGCGCTCATAATACTCATATAAGGATTCCTCAAACATTTGTTGACAACCACAAATATCCTTCCTAACAGAGGAAGTACAAGATACTGGGAAATACTTTTCCAAAAACAACTTTTTCAGCTGGTCCCATGAAGTAATGAATCCAGGAGGTAACCAGAGAAGCCAATTCTCCACAGAACTTTCCAAAGAAAATAGGAAGGCATGCATCTTAATCTAATCCTTAGACACACCAGTAGGCTTCATAGTAGTATAGATCATATGAAAAGTCTTCAAGTGATTGTATGGAT